TATATAGATTTAAGTAAAGATGATTGGATGTATTGCATTATTTGTAAGCTATGGGCACATGTAAAATGTGTTGTAGGAAAAAATATATAAATTTCATTTTTATTATTTGCAGTTCAAGTTGATAATTTTGTATTAAATATAATTTACGATGATTTATAAAAAGAATTCCTTAGTCAATATGTCAATTTTCTCAAAAAAAAATGTATATCAAAGGTATTCTCGTCGTGTTTTACCATTACTCAAGCACGGGGTAGAATAGTTACAGCAACTAACCATCTTTATTCCGTAGAAATATAATCTGGTAATCACAAAATAAATTAATTTAAAAAAAAACTGTTACAACTTTCATAGTTTGATTTAGTTTTTACAGTAAAATTAGGTAAACCAAAATTGAGCATCTGTGCCTCGCCTACACTATAATTGAATAAGTTAGTATCCACTTTACTCGAGAATGAAATACGATATATCAATTACTATTAACTGTTGCAAGCTTGTATTTAATCTCTTGAATTTATTATGTGGATATCAAAACCCTTAATACTTATGGTGAAATGTTTGTAATCTTATTTAAAAAGCAAATATGTCGGCGCCATGTGGGGGAGAATGGGTACGGTAGTGCCACAGCTTTTGGCATAAATCAGCCATAAATTTGTTAATTTACAAGATATCTAGGAAAATAATAAAGAAATGGTATTTTGTACATTTGACTACATGGAAAGACAGAAATACTGTCCCTAAATACGATGTATTAGTCATAAAATCAAATAAAACAAAAAAAATAGACCAAAGTATGATTGTAATATTGAATATACTTATGATTGAATTATAGAACTAGTGATGTATAGCATCGTGTCTTAAGGCAATAATTAAATTTAAAAAAAAGATTAAATGTGTTTTAAACTGTGAAAAAATTAGATTTTTGAGAAACTTTAAATTTTTGAGAAAAAATTACTTTTTTGGAAAACAATGTATTTTTGGTTTGAAATATTTTGAAAATTATGAACTTTTTCCAAAGCTGCTTTAGCTGTATATAGACACAATATAAAAGCGCGTAAGCATAGCGCCGCCGTCTAACGGACAAACGACGATACGACCCATAGAAAGGTAAACAAAATTGATTTTTAAAATCACTATAAAGTATCTGATAATTTGATGTTCATATGTCTAATAATCATTTTTGACCTTAAAATGGCGTTTTTTTACTAGATCTTCGAAACCGCTAGACCTGTTTTATCTAAAGATGTGTACATAACACTAGAAATTAGCACTGACATTTATACATCTAACTTGTCAACACCATGAATTTTTTCACATAAGCCTCGGAAATTGCACAGTACACGAATCGTGGCAGAAATTGTTTAACTTTACTCACATATTTGTTCAAATAAAACTATCATTTTTCTTTTTACATCATACAAAAAATGATAAAAATTTCTAATGTTGCTAATTTCTAGTGTTGTGTACTCATCTTTAGATGTAACCTACCAACGTTAATATCCACTGATGATGACATTAAATTGAATGTCGAAACTTTTGCAATTAACGGTCACGCACGATTTATAAAAGTTTGCTTTTTATTCTTTGATGTACGCCCCACAAGAACTTACTCATATATCTCAACATCAAAATTAACTACTAAATCATATATATATATATATATATATATATATATATATATATATATATATATAAAGAAACTCGTGTTCTTTATACTACGTATATTGTTTGTTATGACAATAGTAACAACACTATATGTGATTATATTTATCATTTACAAAACGTAGATATTATTTCAGTATTTATAATGAAAAAGGAAAAAAGTTAAGAATTATAATTTTGGCATTTCGAACATGGAGAAACAAAAACGAGATCTGATCTGACACTTGAACTTTTTGTTTTGAGACACTATGATGAGCTCCAAATAATGTACATCTGTCAAGTTGCAATGCGACGTGTGTTGACAGGTCGCTACACATATATATATATATATATATATATATATATATATATATATATGGCGGAATGAACACCATATGAAAGATGTCAGTTGAATGACGCCAATTGACGACAAAGTGATATAGCGGAATCAACACGCATATTGCGGAATGAATACGGCAAAATGACAGATGTCAGTGGAATTACGCCAAGTTGATGACAAAAATTACACAACATACTTTGGGCTACGCTGATGCTAATCTGGCATCTAGGAAGCTAGAGTGGAAGTTTGTTTTTAAAAAATACGATCGTAAAGATTGGGTTTTAATGATCGAACATTTTGTCGGGACGTAAATTGTAGTTCGAAAATTATATAATGATAAATCGAGTTTCTTATTAAATTGAGTTTTTAATAAACTGACATCATAAACGAGTATACATCCGATAATTGTGGTTTCACTTGTAAGTAATAATTAATTAATAATATATGGCCCAATAGCGCCATATATATATATATATATATATATATATATATACATATATATATATATATATATATACTAGATGACCCGACAGACATTGTTCTGTTTCTTCAATGTCCTATAATAATATTTACCGTTCAGTTAAAAATAATAAATGTAGAACTGCTTCAAATAAATTGATGATTCTCAATTCCCACAGTTAACACTTTAATTATACGTTTAACAAATATTAAATATGTTCAGTAAAAATTATACACAGCAATTTATAGAACAAATTTATTTTCAATAGCTCAATTTATTTTAATGCCAAGGGTTATACAATTTTTTAGTCATACCTGTAGATATGGATGTATAAATGAAAGATTTCTGTTTATTCACGACTAAAACATTGATTTTCCAAATTTATCACACAAAAAATCATCGTCTGCCTTTGTGGTTTATGGTCATAGCATAAGATACACGTGTTGAAAATTGAAGTGTTTTAAAGGATATAACAATTTCAGAAAGAAATAATATATAGCATTCATGGTAAAAGTACAATATCACTTTGGATTTTTCTACCCAAAATAATTGCTTCAATAATGTTGTCTATAATTTTTATAATTTCGTACCATATTTTAACTGGCTTTTTGTAATTTTAATATCTAAATTACATTTTTCTTACTAATAATTCATTATACATTATTACTTAAGTTTATATGTGAAGTGAATTAATTTGTCAAATCCTTTCACATGTGCTCTATTCAACCTACGATCAACAAAATTATTGCAGTGAATAGAGAGGAATAAAGCGTGTGCCTTGTGGATTTTTTTACTGTGCTCCAATTTACTTGATATTTTGGAAATAGACTAATCTTTATCTTAAGTTCAGAAGTGAAAACAATTTGCACTCCGTCACCTCCCACCGCATTAATTGGATTATAATTCTTTTAATTATGATTTTATCAGAACTTGTGATACACTATTTTAAAGGTAATTAAATTAGCTACAACTTCGTCTATAATGAATTTTACTGTAACTTCTCTTATTTCGAAACGTCCAAGAGTTAAAGGGCTTGAAAGATACTCTGGTTGAACAGCCGCGCATTCTTTAAACAATCATAACTCTATCAATATTTGTTTAACAGGAAAACATTAAATTTTCATCTATATACCTTTATACATATCTTTTATTTTTTCAGAGATATAATAATGAGAAATTGTTTTTTTTTTAAATAGATTTTTTTATGAAATCATGAGCTTTATTGAAAATCGTTTATACTAAAGTTGTGGTATTTTCTAGAATCCATCTAAATCTCTTGAACCAAGTTAATTCTAGATAATTTTGGTGGAAATGGCAATCATTAACTAATGGATTTAAATGATAAAATCATTGTTTGCGTCTTTTATTTGCATGATAGCTTACTCATTTTACACGCAGAAGTACTCATTTTTAAGCTTATTTTGAGAACTATAACCCCATTTTCATTTCAAGCCTAATATTGTTCCTAGAACACCTTGTAAACACCGATCTATTAAGATTTTAGTTGATATAATTTAGTTCATTACATGATTTTCGTTGGAAGGCATATTTTTGAAGATATTTCGAATTTTCAATAGCCAGTAACTTGAAAAGTACTTGCTTTTTTGAAAAACATTATTAAACATTTTTCTCTTCTGATTAGTTCTTTATCGATATCCGAAGTTATTTTGAAAAAAGTAAAATTACACCACTGAGAAGAAATGTCATCCCTCTGGGAAGTGTCAAAGGAGTCCAAATTATTTTTACTTTTAAACTTGAGAGTAAGATGAACCTAATTCCAAAATTTCATGCAAATTGAAGACAATAAAATATTCAAAACCAAAACGTACCATTGACTTCAGTAAATATTCTGTATCCAATGCCAAACATATGAATTTTTGGTACAATGAAACTTCTAAATAATTTTTTGAATGAGTAAATTATTTTTGTATTGTGATTCAGTAAAGTAAGACAATAATATATCTTATATTATTTTAATTTTTGGCACATCTCTATAAGTGAATTGAAATATTTGGCAAACGACAGTCTTCATTTGTTTTTAATGTCAAACTTTGCCTCAAATATGTTTAAAGTCAAACAATGATAAGCGGTTTTTGTAATATTTTTCATTTATTTCTTCAATCTAACTATATTTCTATGAATAAAAAATCATAGAAAATTCCCTTAACAAGCTTCAGAAAGATTTGTGAAAATCCGAATGATAGTTTAGGAGGATTAACCTTTCATACCCCATTACAGAAGAACTTTATATATATATATATATATATATATATATATATATATATATATACATATATATATATATAAATATATATATATATATATATATATATATATATATCAATTATGTTTCTAACAATTTTAATAAACCTCTATTCGTGAAAATTATTTGTTGTGGAAGTATATAATTTTATTGAGAAAAATAATTTAGTTTTATTTTATTTATCTATATATCTTTCACCATCTGAAAAAATATTCAAACAAAATACACCTATCAAATTGTGGTTGCTAAATATATTATATAATGCAATATCATATCAAAGTAAAACACAAACAGTGTATACTAATTTAAATCGTTTTATTTATTGTTTATCTATATTTATTTATGAATAAAATGTGCAACTGATTTTCATTCATGGAATTGTCATAGGTAGCGAGATTTCCAATTCATGAGCATCGCCCTGCGACCAATGTTTGATCCTCTGCAAATAAAATACACTTGTGATATAAATATTTGAAATGCTATAACAAAATAAAAATTAACAAAATTTTTACAAATGTACACATATATTATAAAATAAAAAGTCCAATTATAATAAGATTGAAAAGTAGATAAACGCTCATACTAGTACTTATTGATAATAATAGAATATATAACTTTGTGGATTGATTTTAATCGGAAGGGATATTTTATTGAAATCTGTTTCTGATGTTTAAAATAATTTTGAGTAATTTAGCACAGAAATTGGAAAAAATGTATGAATCTGAATATGTGTATAGTGGACCTTTTTACCCAGGAAATTTTAAGCTCCGCTCTCGCCTAATAATTTTTATTCGACTATATTCATTTTTCGCCAGCAACAAAATTATAAAATATTTTTCAATCAAAAAACATTAAGATTGTCATTCGAAAATGACAAATGAGCACAAATCTCTGGGCTCCCCGACGTGGAAAGCGCGACTCATGCTCGATAATATTTATTATCCTTCGATGTAACACATTTGCCAACAAATTGTAAAAAGATTTTTGTAGCACAGAAAAAAATGTTTTTTTTCAATTGACTCAAGTTGGGGGAAGGGTAAGTAAAACCTTTGTAAATTCTAATGGTGGTTATTGTTAAGAATATTGCAAGAGCATTTTTTAAGTAAAACTTCTTTAGGCGCGACTATGGTGTAAATTCGTACAAATGCAACGAAAGTGCGTTACGGCAGATAAGATAAGATAAGAGTCGAGTGCCAATGATTCGTCATTCGCTCTCATGATATCATTTCTATACAGGTCGATTGTGATTAGTCGTCGCGTATGTGAATAGAGATCTGTCGTTGTATGTGTACCAGCATCAACGTTGTATGCGTACCGACGTCAACAAGGAAATCGGCATAGATAAATAAACATTTTAAAGTTACATAGATAAATAAACATTTTAAAGTTACATCGTAGAACAAATCTTGAATTAATAAAAAATGCCTGAATCAGAAGAATATTTTACCCTGTTCCCCCCGTAAATAATCATAATGAAAATAATGCAGCATTTGCGCCGTGTACGAAACATAAGTTTATTGAAATAATTTCTATATTATTCGTAGTTTCTATAAATTTTTGAAGTTATTGAAATGGAAAATATTTTTTAGGCAAAACAGATATTAAAGCTGTTCAAAAAATGAGATTATATCGCTAGCAACAAATTTAAAAAAATACCATCAGTCAATGAATGTGTGTTAATTTTAATTACATGAAGTTCTTCAAACACAATTATTACATGATGAGTAAAGTTGCAAAAACAATATTTGTTTAGGCGTTGTTTAGCATAATCCACTGTGTAAACGAATATTATAGAAGTTATTAATCAGCAATTAAGTTTCATTTTTCTAATAAAGGTTCATTTTTAAATGCTAATTACAATGACAAACCGATCATGTTATATTTGAAGTATGACTTTAATTACATTATTGTTTTTAAATATTATACATAATCAATCACCCAAATACATTAGCAAACTCATTGATAACAGAGAACTATCAAAGAAGATATTATGATATTTTTAGTTATATATAGATATTATATTAATGAAATAGATATTATAGTCAAATGAAATGTATATATTATATGAAAACTGTTTTCATAATCTCTCATACCAGGCAACTCTGCCTGACTGAGATATGAAAATAATGTATATATATATAAATAAAAAAAAAAAAAAAAAAAAAGGATTGAAAAGAAAAGCGCCATTGGATCTAAGCCATCAACTCTCCTGAGAAAAAAATAGAAATAACTTAATCATTATTTATAAGTAATTATTCAATAATAAAATATTGTGAAATTTATATAGAAAGGAAAAAACAACTGCTGAGTTGTTTTTTACAACATGACAATGCAGTATACAATGTCCCTTCTTGGCGGACTATTGTAAATTCATTAAATTTACTAAATGTCCTTTACTGGACAGTTGTAAATAAAAGAGTTAATAAAAAAAATATATACATATTTTAATGCTATTACAAATATATAATTTTTAATTTATCATTATATAAATGTGTATAATGATTGACACTAATAAATATGTGTGTTACCATATTACTAATAAACGTTATTCAAAATTGTTATATGATGTATTTAGTTGTACTTAAATGCCATCTTGTACAGTAGCAAATAAGTTTTACTTCAAACGCGTGTAAACCTCACGCGCACTCTTTTTTAAATCATTACAAAGTTACAATTTAAAAATCATATTTAAAAAAACATTTGGGAATCAGTTTGATTAGTTTGATAAATGGAATACCGATTATTTTTACCGGTATGTTACGTGTTCGAAGAAAAATTGATAAATTCTAATAAAATTTTATAAACATTTCGAAATATGATCTATAAATTAATAAGGTAGAGCAGAATTTAAAAGTCCGGGAGTAAACTGGTCGCCCACTAGGTTACATCAAAAATAAGTAAACTATGGTATTTTTTAATGATATTATTTTAAAGCAGAGTAAATACTCGTGTAATCAGCCATTACCTGAAATGTATCAAAATCGCCATTACTAGATAAACAGCCATATAAGCAATTTTTCAACGAAAGTAATTTTTGTTGTTGTTGTTTTGAGCATTCTTGTTTAGTTAACAATATCCAGTAGCGTAGCGTGCCTCGGCAGGGCAACGTATCAAAATTTGTTTGGGGGCCCCCCTCAAGAAGAATTGTTTTTTACAGAATATAAAAATACATAAAATTAAAAGAATATTTATTTATCTATCTATTTTTTTTCATTTTCTGAATTTTTTGCAAAATATCCCAAATATATATTCACTTCGATTTTTTTTGAAAATTTGATTTCTGTCACTAGAATTATACAGGTCTGGTAGACATTTAGGTCCTAAAGTGTTTACGTAATTTTTAGTTTTAATTTTAAAAATTTCTTTTAGCAATTGCGATTTTAACTGGAGGGGCCAAGAAAAAAATGCATGCTGTTATTCTGTTGGGAAAACTGGATGCAAGCCTAATGCATCCATCACATTTCTTAGATTTTTGAATTCAAATCTATTTCTAGAGTCATCAATTGGTCATGATCTTATGAGATATTTTTATTGTGTTTCTTTGCAGTAATTCAGTCGACTGTTTTCCGGAAATGTTTGTTAATTCTCGATTTCAAAAAGATAAATGTTACTATTTATGTGGCAAAGGTTTTAAAATCTTTGTTTGCTTTGTAAAATTAATATACATATATCCAAACAGCAATAGTATACATTAAAATAAGATTTCGGGTCTAAAATTATCTCATATTGTGATAACTCATCATAATAACTTGTAATAACTCACATAATAACGCTTTATTATCTTTTGTCTTTTGTTCTTTGAAATAGTTATAGCAATCCATCTTTTTTGTACATTATTTGGACTTTTTTTAGCAACTAATTCAATAAATTATCATATCTTAATTCGCAACGTGTATTCAAAAGATTACTTAATAAAATACTAGTTTTTTGTTAGTCATTACTGGCATGTTGTAAAGTTTCAGAAATGAAACTAATAATTTGAAACAGTGAAGAAATAAATCTGAAAATGATTTAGTTGTTCATATTTATGAAAATCTAACTATTAAACTTACGCGTCATGCAGACAATTCAAATAGTAACAAGAACAAACATAATAATGTTACAAATATAACTATAAAAATTTCAAATTCCAATTTTCGATTAGGAATGTATAAACTGAATTAGTTTTATAAATTTGTTGACAAGAATATTAACTTATATGATGTGCAAAAACTTCATTAATTAATTGATTGCTTGGGTTTGCAGAAACTACGTTAAAATTATTCAATTTTTTAACAAAATTGTTGTTTTGCTTTCTGATTGTGCTCGTTGAGCCCCCTCCTGGTTCGGGGGCCCCGTATTTTTGATACGGCTGATACGGCGGTAGTTACGCCCCTGACAATATATAAATATAGTGTTTAAATATGTGCTATTCAATTGATGTATAAGGTGTATTGTTATTTTTAAGTTGCATTCAACAGTTTTTTCTATAACCTATTTTTAATTTTGATGCTCAATCTAATAATTAAATTGTATAGTATTAATTAAATAGTGTAAAACAAATTATTTTTTTACAATAATAATTTAGCTAGGATTTGTACTGCTTATAGTTCGATATTTGTTTGTTTGATATGTGTTATTTGTAGTGATTTAGGGAACCTAGGGTTTATCTGTAACAAAAGTAATTAGTAACAGGCGTTTTTAGTAGGATCTTAAACGATATCAAAATATTTTTTTCGTCTCGATTGAACATATTATTAATAATTATGTCATTGCATTTTTGAAATGTAATATACAATTAATCTATCATAAAATTTCGGTTTGTGTTATTATTATCGACTAATTTAAAATTGTATATATCAAAATTGCTTCAAATTTATCAAACTTTGACAACGTTTCACAATTTTTGTGATTGCTAAATTGGTTTAACTAGTTATCTTAATTAATGTTAAAAAAATCACATCTGGGGTTGGTTGAAACATACATGAATTATATATAGATCCAAGTAAAGATGATTGGACGGATTTCATTATTTGTAGGCTATGGGCACCCGTAAAATGTGTTGTAGGAAAAAATATATAAATTTGATTTGTATTATTTGCAGTTTATGTCATTATGTTTAGTCAACATGTCAATTTCCTCAAAAAAAATGTATACCAGAGGTATTCTTGTCGTTCTTTACCGTTACTCAAGCACGAGGTAAAAAATGATTAATTGTGAAATACGAGGTCTGTTCAAAAAGTACCCGGAATTTTCGTTTTTCAAAAAAATATTTATTTATTCGTCTACATTAATGTGGTCCCCTTCAAAGTAGTCCCCCCCAGATATAATACACTTATGCCAGCGTTTTTTCCAATTTTCGAAGCACCCTTGATATTCACTTTTTGATATGTCCTTGAGCACTCTCAGCGATTTTCTTCAATCGAGGAAAACCGCCGTCCTTTCATGGGTCTCTTCAAC